GGCTTAAGCAGGGGGACACGTCTTTCACTGCAGGATTTGAGTCCCTGGCGGCGTAGTGTGTTACTGATGGTAGGCTTTGTTACTTTGGTCCCAGCTCTCTGCAGGTCATTTACTAGGTCCCCCTGTGTGGTTCTGGGATTTTTGCTCACCGTTCTTGTGATCATTTTGACCCCACGGGGTGAGATCTTGCGTGGAGCCACAGATCGAGGGAGATTATCAGTGGTCTTGTATATCTTCCATTTCCTAATAATTGCTCCCACAGTTGATTTCTTCAAACCAAGCTGCTTACCTATTGCAGATTCAGTCTTCCCAGCCTGGTGCAGGTCTACAATTTTGTTTCTGGTGTCCTTTGACAGCTCTTTGGTCTTGGCCATAGTGGAGTTTGGAGTGTGACTGTTTGAGGTTGTGGACAGGTGTCTTTTATACTGATAACAAGTTCAAACAGGTGCCATTAATACAGGTAACGAGTGGAGGACAGAGGAGCCTCTTAAAGAAGAAGTTACAGGTCTGTGAGAGCCAGAAATCTTGCTTGTTTGTAGGTGACCAAATACTTATTTTCCACCATAATTTGCAAATAAATTCATAAAAAATCCTACAATGTGATTTTCTGGATTTTTTCTCCTCAATTTGTCTGCCATAGTTGACGTGTACCTATGATGAAAATTACAGGCCTCTCTCATCTTTTTAAGTGGGAGAACTTGCACAATTGGTGGCTGACTAAATACTTTTTTTCCCCACTGTATGGTGGTGGGGGTGGTGAGTGGAGTGGTCCTACACTATGATATATATATGGTGGTGGGGGTGGTTAGTGGAGTGGTCCTACACTATGATATATATATATGGTGGGGGTGGTGGTGAGTGGAGTGGTCCTACACTATGATATATATATATGGTGGGGGTGGTTAGTGGAGTGGTCCTACACTATGATATATATATATATGGTTGTGGGGGTGGTTAGTGGAGTGGTCCTACACTATGATAGATATATGGTGGGGGTGGTTAGTGGAGTGGTCCTACACTATGATATATATATGGTGGTGGGGGTGGTTAGTGGAGTGGTCCTACACTATGACATATATATATATGGTGGTGGGGGTGGTTAGTGGAGTGGTCCTACACTATGATATATATATGGTGGGGGTGGTTAGTGGAGTGGTCCTACACTATGATATATATATGGTGGTGGGGGTGGTTAGTGGAGTGGTCCTACACTATGACATATATACAGTGGGGAAAAAAAGTATTTAGTCAGCCACCAATTGTGCAAGTTCTCCCACTTAAAAAGATGAGAGGCCTGTAATTTTCATCATAGGTACACGTCAACTATGACAGAAAATTGAGGAAAAAAAATCCAGAAAATCACATTGTAGGATTTTTAGTGAATTTATTTGCAAATTATGGTGGAAAATAAGTATTTGGTCACCTACAAACAAGTAAGATTTCTGGGTCTCACAGACCTGTAACTTCTTCTTTAAGAGGCTCCTCTGTCCTCCACCCGTTACCTGTATTAATGGCACCTGTTTGAACTTGTTATCAGTATAAAAGACACCTGTCCACAACCTCAAACAGTCACAATCCAAACTCCACTATGGCCAAGACCAAAGAGCTGTCAAAGGACACCAGAAACAAAATTGTAGACCTGCACCAGGCTGGGAAGAATGAATATGCAATAGGTAAGCAGCTTGGTTTGAAGAAATCAACTGTGGGAGCAATTATTAGGAATTGGAAGACATACAAGACCACTGATAATCTCCCTCGATCTGGGGCTCCATGCAAGATCTCACCCTGTGGGGTCAAAATGATCACAAGAACGATGAGCAAAAATCCCAGAACCACACGGGGGGACCTAGTGAATGACCTGCAGAGAGCTGGGACCAAAGTAACAAAGCCTACCATCAGTAACACACTACGCCGCCAGGGACTCAAATCCTGCAGTGCTTGACGTGTCCCCCTGCTTAAGCCAGTACACGTCCAGGCCCGTCTGAAGTTTGCTAGAGTGCATTTGGATGATCCAGAAGAGGATTGGGAGAATGTCATATGGTCAGATGAAACCAAAATAGAACTTTTTGGTAAAAACTCAACTCGTCGTGTTTGGAGGACAAAGAATGCTGAGTTGCATCCAAAGAACACCATACCTACTGTGAAGCATGGGGGTGGAAACATCATGCTTTGGGGCTGTTTTTCTGCAAAGGGACCAGGACGACTGATCCGTGTAAAGGAAAGAATGAATGGGGCCATGTATCGTGAGATTTTGAGTGAAAACCTCCTTCCATCAGCAAGGGCATTGAAGATGAAATGTGGCTGGGTCTTTCAGCATGACAATGATCCCAAACACACCGCCCGGGCAACGAAGGAGTGGCTTCGTAAGAAGCATTTCAAGGTCCTGGAGTGGCCTAGCCAGTCTCCAGATCTCAACCCCATAGAAAATCTTTGGAGGGAGTTGAAAGTCTGTGTTGCCCAGCGACAGCCCCAAAACATCACTGCTCTAGAGGAGATCTGCATGGAGGAATGGGCCAAAATACCAGCAACAGTGTGTGAAAACCTTGTGAAGACTTACAGAAAACGTTTGACCTGTGTCATTGCCAACAAAGGGTATATAACAAAGTATTGAGAAACTTTTGTTATTGACCAAATACTTATTTTCCACCATAATTTGCAAATAAATTCATTAAAAATCCTACAATGTGATTTTCTGGATTTTTTTTCCTCATTTTGTCTGTCATAGTTGACGTGTACCTATGATGAAAATTACAGGCCTCTCTCATCTTTATAAGTGGGAGAACTTGCACAATTGGTGGCTGACTAAATACTTTTTTTCCCCACTGTATATGGTTGGTTAGTGGAGTGGTCCTACACTATGATATATATATATGGTGGGGGTGGTTAGTGGAGTGGTCCTACACTATGACATATATATATGGTTGTGGGGGTGGTTAGTGGAGTGGTCCTACACTATGATAGATATATGGTGGGGGTGGTTAGTGGAGTGGTCCTACACTATGATATATATATGGTGGTGGGGGTGGTTAGTGGAGTGGTCCAACACTATGATATATATATATATGGTGGTGGGGGTGGTTAGTGGAGTGGTCCTACACTATCAGATAATTGAATTTCCAAGGGGAAATCAACAAGTTCCATGATCTCACGATACATTTGCGACAGAGTTTTTTTAAACGCTCCAGAGTTTTAGCGGCCCCCAAAGACCTAACAGCTTGGGAGAGTTAACAGCACACGTTTAATTTGCAGTGGGTGTTACTGTCGGTCCTCAAAGATTAAATGACTCCACTGTTTGAGAACATTTTCATCATGTTTTGTCATCAATATCAAAACAAAACACCCACAGTCAGTGGATGATCTAATCTCTGTCAAAACATTTGTTTTATTCTGTCTTTGAAAACATTTGATTCTCTCTCATAAACTATGAGACTAATGTATTATACCTACACATCTCACACACTCTAATCTACTATTTATAAAGCCTTTCATTGAGATTGGGTGTGTGGGGGACGGAGGCAGGGGTGCGCACCTCTTTGGGTCCCCGGGACCAGGATTGAGAAGCACTGCTTTTGTACAACGTAAAAATGTCCATGACCTTGAGTGTACCTGACCCATCTAACTGTCTGCAACTGTACCAAGTAACCTGAATATGTAAATCATGTAATAACCTGAAATATGCAAACTGGAAAAAAGATCTACACAGACAGACATGAACAGCAGTGTGGCCGTAAAGGGTGATTAAAGTATTTTTCTTCCTCTGTATCTCTCTGACGTGACTTCTTACTGCAGGCTACCGAGGCAGGAGGGAGGTGTGTGTGTCCTGTTTTGACATGTTGTTGTCACAGAAGGGAAAAACCAAAAAATGTATGTTTTGACAGAGATCAGATCATCCACTGATGAAGAAGTAGAGATGAGGAGAGTGTGAATATGAATCCCACTACATATAGCCTCTTACTACTGTTGAAGCTCCACTTACTGTCAATATACACACATCCTTCTCATGTTTTCTCTACTATTCCATCAAAGTAAAACATTAGTGGATGATCTAATGTCTGTCAAAACATTTGGTTTCCCCCCCTGTGACAACAACATGTCATAACATGTTGCTACGGTATATCTCCTAGCTGCATACCAGACCAGGTCTTTGTATGACTGAGCAGTTATGCAATTCTGACAGACAGGGCGTGTTACAAACACAGAGGCATGCCAAAGCCAAAGTCAGGGTGTGAGAGCCAGTGGTTTTAAACAGACTATGAAATCAACATAACAAAAGTAGAACAGTGTCATGGGATGGGGGGGGGGTGCGCACACGGTTAGAGGTTAGAGGGTAGAGGTTAGAGGTTAGATTCAGCCAATCAGCATTGAAGGCAGCAATAACATTACAATTTTACATTTTACATTTTTAGTCATTTAGCAGACGCTCTTATCCAGAGCGACTTACAGGAGCAATTAGGGTTAAGTGCCTTGCTCAAGGGCACATCAACACATTTTTCCCCTAGTCGGCTCAGGGATTAGAACCAGCGACCTTTCGGTTACTGGCACAACGCTCTTAACCACTAAGCTACAAAAATCTCACTTAGATTAAAACATATACACACTCATTCTGACACACAACTCTTTCATCTCTCTCTCTCTCTCTCTCTAACACACACACACACACACACACACACACAAGCACACACACACACACACACACACACACACACACACACACACACACACACACACACACACACACACACACACACACACACACACACACACACACACACACACACACACACACACACACACACACACACACACACACACACACACACACACACACACACACACACACACACAAACACACCCCACTCCTGTCCAATTGCGGTAAAAGTACCTAGACTAAATAAATGCTAGTATCTAAGAGATGCCATGCCTGTACATGAACAGCTAGACATCCTGGTTAGTTGACTTATATAACTCCACCCACTATGGAACAACATCACATCACCACTATGGAACAACATCCTATCACCACTCCTCTGGAACAACATCCCATCACCACTCTGGAACAACATCCCATCACCACTCTGGAACAACATCACATCACCACTATGGAACAACATCCCATCACCACTATGGAACAACATCACATCACCACTATGGAACAACATCCTATCATCACTCCTCTGGAACAACATCCCATCACCACTCTGGAGCAACATCCCATCACCATTCTGGAGCAACATCCCATCACCACTCTGGAACAACATCCTATCACCACTCTGGAACAACATCCCATCACCACTATGGAACAACATCCTATCACCACTCTGGAACAACATCCCATCACCACTATGGAACAACATCCTATCACCACTCTGGAACAACATCCCATCACCACTATGGAACAACATCCCATCACCACTCTGGAACAACATCCCATCACCACTCTGGAGCAACATCCTATCACCACTCTGGAACAACATCCCATCACCACTATGGAACAACATACCATCACCACTCTGGAACAACATCCAATCACCACTCTGGAGTAACATCCTATCACCACTCTGGAACAACATCCTATCACCACTCTTGAACAACATCCCATCACCACTATGTAACAACATCCTATCACCACTCTGGAACAACATCCTATCACCACTATGGAACAACATCCTATCACCACTATGGAACAACATCACATCACCACTATGGAACAACATCCTATCACCACTCCTCTGGAACAACATCCCATCACCACTCTGGAGCAACATCCCATCACCACTATGGAACAACCTCCCATCACCACTGTGGAACAACATCACATCACCATTATGGAACAACATCCCATCACCACTCTGGAACAACATCCCATCACCACTCTGGAGCAACATCCCATCACCATTCTGGAGCAACATCCCATCACCACTCTGGAACAACATCCCATCACCACTCTGGAGCAACATCCTATCACCACTCTGGAACAACATCCCATCACCACTATGGAACAACATCCCATCACCACTTTGGAGCAACATCCCATCACCACTCTGGAACACATCCTATCACCACTCTGGAACAACATCCCATCACCACTATGGAACACAATCCCATCACCACTCTGGAAGAACATCGCATCACCACTGTGGAGCAACATCCTATCAACACTCTGGAACAACATCCCATCACAACTATGGAGCAACATCCCATCACCACTCTGGAGCAACATCCCATCACCACACTGGAGCAACATCCCATCACCACTCTGGAACAACATCCTATCACCAATCTGGAACAACATCCTATCACCACTCTGGAACAACATCCCAACTCCACTCTGGAACAACATTCTATCACCACTCTGGAACAACATCCCATCACCACTATGGAACAACATCCTATCACCACTCTGGAACAACATCCTATCACCACTCTGGAGCAACATCCTATCACCACTATGGAACAACATCCTATCACCACTATGGAACAACATCCCATCACCACTCTGGAGCAAATTCCCATTACCACTATGGAACAACATCCTATCACCACTCTAGAGCAATATCCTATTACCACTCTGGAGTAACATCCTATCACCACTATGGAACAACATCCTATCACCACTCTGGAACAACATCACATCACCACTCTGGAACAACACCCCATCACCACTCTGGAACAACATCCCATCACCACAATGGTGCAACATCCCATCACCACTCTGGAGCAAAATCCCATCACCACTCTGGAGCAACATCGTATCACCACTCTGGAACAACATCCATTTTTACATTTACATTTGAGTCATTTAGCAGACGCTCTTATCCAGAGCGACTTACAGTTAGTGAATACATTTTTTTTTAATTTTTTTTTTATACTGGCCCCCCGTGGGAATCAATCAATCAATCAATCAATTTTATTTTATATAGCCCTTCTTACATCAGCTAATATCTCGAAGTGCTGTACTGGAACTGTGTCACTAGAGATCCTGGTTCGAATCCAGGCTCTGTCGCAGCCGGCCGCGACCAGGAGACTCATGGGCGGCGCACAATTGGCCCAACACCCCATCACCACTCTGGAACAACATCCCATCACCACAATGGTGCAACATCCCATCACCACTCTGGAGCAAAATCGTATCACCACTCTGGAACAACATCCATTTTTACATTTACATTTTAGTCATTTAGCAGACGCTCTTATCCAGAGCGACTTACAGTTAGTGAATACATTTTTTTTTTATTTTTTTTTTATACTGGCCCCCCGTGGGAATCAATCAATCAATCAATCAATTTTATTTTATATAGCCCTTCTTACATCAGCTAATATCTCGAAGTGCTGTACTGGAACTGTGTCACTAGAGATCCTGGTTCGAATCCAGGCTCTGTCGCAGCCGGCCGCGACCAGGAGACTCATGGGCGGCGCACAATTGGCCCAGCGTCGTCCAGGGTAGGGGAGGGAATGGCCGGCAGGGATGTAGCTCAGTTGAATCGAACCCGCAACCCTGGCGTTGCAAACGCCATGCTCTATCAACTGAGCTACATCCCTGCCGGCCATTCCCTCCCCTACCCTGGACGACGCTGGGCCAATTGTGCGCCGCCCATGAGTCTCCTGGTCGCGGCCGGCTGCGACAGAGCCTGGATTCGAACCAGGATCTCTAGTGACACAGTTAGCACTGCGATGCAGTGCCTTAGACCACTGCGCCACTCAGGAGTTGTTAGATCCCATCACCACTCTGGAACAACATCCCATCACCACTCTGGAGCAACATCCTATCACCACTCTGGAACAACATCACATCACCACTATGGAGCAACATCCCATCTCCACTCTGGAGCAACATCCCATCACCACTATGGAGCAACATCCCATCACCACTCTGGAACAACATCCTATCACCACTCTGGAGCAACATCCTATCACCACTCTGGAACAACATCCTATCACCACTCTGGAGCAACATCCCATCACCACTCTGGAACAACATCACATCACCACTATGGAGCAACATCCCATCTCCACTCTGGAGCAACATCCCATCACCACTATGGAGCAACATCCCATCACCACTCTGGAACAACATCCTATCACCACTATGGAGCAACATCCTATCACCACTCTGCAGCAACATCCCATCACCACTCTGGAGCAACATCCTATCACCATTCTGGAACAACATCCTATCACCACTCTGGAGCAACATCCCATCACTGCTCTGGAGCAACATCCTAACACCACTCCTCTGGAACAACATCCCATCACCACTCTGGAGCAACATCCCATCACCACTATATAACAACATCCTATCATCACTCTGGAGAAACATCCTATCACCACTCTGGAACAACATCCCATCACCACTCTGGAACAACATCCCATCACCACTCTGGAACAACATCCCATCACCACTATAGAACAACATCCCATCACAACTCTGGAGCAACATCCCATCACAACTCTGGAGCAACATCCCATCACCACTCTGGAACAACATCCCATCACCACTATGAAACAACATCCCATCACCACTCTGCAGCAACATCCCATCACCACTCTGGAGCAACATCCCATTACCACTCTGGAACAACATCCTATCACCATCTGGAACAACATCCTATCACCACTCTGGAACAACATCCCATCACCACTCTGGAGCAACATCCCATCACCACTATGGAACAACATCCTATCACCACTCTGGAGCAACATCCTATCACCACTCTGGAGCAACATCCTATCACCACTATGGAACAACATCCCATCACTACTCTGAAGCAACATCCCATCACCACTCTGGAGCAACATCCCATCACCACTCTGGGGCAAACATCCTATCACCACTCCTCTGGAACAACATCCCATCACCACTATGGAGCAACGTCCCATCACCACTCCTCTGGAACAACATCCCATCACCACTCTGGAGCAACATCCCATTACCACTCTGGAACAACATCCTATCACCATCTGGAACAACATCCTATCACCACTCTGGAACAACATCCCATCACCACTCTGGAGCAACATCCCATCACCACTATGGAACAACATCCTATCACCACTCTGGAGCAACATCCTATCACCACTCTGGAGCAACATCCTATCACCACTATGGAACAACATCCCATCACCACTCTGGCGCAATATCCCATCACCACTCTGGAGCAACATCCCATCACCACTCTGGAGCAACATCCTAACACCCTCCTCTGAAAAAACATCCCATCACCACTATGGAACAACATCCCATCACCACTCTGGAATAACATCCTATCACCACTCTGGAGCAACATCCTATCACCACTATGGGACAACATCCTATCACCGCTATGGAACAACATCCTATCACCACTATGGAACAACATCCTATAACCACTATGGAACAACTTCCTATCACCACTATGGAACAACATCCTATCACCACTCTGGAGCAACATTACATCACCACTATGGAACAACATCCTATCACCACTCTGGAGCAACATCCTATCACCATTCTGGAGCAACACCCTATCACCACTATGGAACAACATCCTATCACCACTATGGAACAACATCCCATCACCACTATGGAACAACATCCCATCACCACTTCTCTGGAACAACATCCCATCACCACTCCTCTGGAACAACATCACATCACCACTATGGAACAACATCCTATCACCACTGTGGAACAACATCCCATCACCACTCTGGATCAACATCCCATCACCACTCTGGAACAACATCCCATCACCACTATGGAACAACATCCCATCACCACTCTGGAGCAACATCCCATCACCACTATGGAGCAACATCCTATCACCACTCTGGAACAACATCCCATCACCACTTTGGAACAACATCCCATCACCACTCTGGAACAACATCCCATCACCACTATGGAACAACATCCCATCGCCACTCTGGAACAACATCCCATCACCACTCTGGAGCAAATCCTATCACCACTCTGGAGCAACATCCTATCACCACTCTGGAACAACATCCTATCACCACTCCTCTGGAGCAACATCCTATCACCACTCCTCTGGAACAACATCCCATCACCACTATGGAACAACATCCCATCACCACTCTAGAACAACATCCCATCACCACTATGGAGCAACATCCCATCATCCACACATATCCTAACCTGTCAGCAGTGTTGGGGAAGCTACTCTGAATATATAGTTTTATCAAGCTACCAATTACTTCACACTGGATGAGGTGAAGTTACACTTAATAAAAATATATACTGATCAAAAATATAAACGCAACATGCAACAATTTCAACGATTTTACTGAGTTACAGATCATATAAGGAAATCAGTCATTAGGCCCTGAGCTATAGGTTTCACATGACTGGGCAGGGGCACAGCCATGGGTAGGCCTGGCTCCCAAGTGGGTGGGCCTATGCCCTTCCAGGCCCACCCACGGCTGCGCCCCTGCCCAGTCATGTGAAATCTATAGCTCAGGGGGAGCCAGGCCCAGCCAATCAGAATGAATTTTTCCCCACAAAAAGGCTTTCTTACAGACAGAAATACTGCTCAGTTTCATCAGCTGTCCGGCTGGCTGGTCTCATACGATCCAGCAGGTGAAGCCGGATGTGGAGGTCCTGGGCTGGCGTGGTTACACGTGGTCTGTGGTAGTGAGGCCTGTTGGACGTACTGCCAAATTCTCTAAAATGACATTGGAGGCGACTTATGGTAGAGAAATGAACATTCAATTCCCTGGCAACAGCTTTGGTGAACATTCCTGCATTCAGCATGCCAATTGCACACTCACTCAAAGCCTGAGACAGCTGTGGCATTGTGTGGTGTGATAAAACTGCACATTTTAGAGTGGCCTTTTATTGCCCCCAGCACAAGGTGCACCTGTGTAATGATCATGCTGTTTAATCAGCTTCTTGATATGCCACACCTGTCAGGTGGAGGGATTATCTTGGTAAAGGAGAAATGCTCACTAACAGTGATGTAAACTAATTTGTGCATAACATTTGAGAGAAATAAGCTTTTGGTGCATATGGAGAATTTCTGGGATCTTTTATTTCAGCTCATGAAACATGGGACCAACACTTTACATGTAGTGTTTATATTTTGGTTCAGTGTAGTTTACTTAACTAAAGTTACATTGAAAAAGTAGTTCACTACATCCAAACTACTTAGTGAAAGATTATCATAAGTAAATCTGAAATGTCATACAATACAAATTGCAAGAACAGAACCCTTTGGGGTCATATGTTAACAGAATGTGTAATTTGGCCTATTAAACACAAGTGAGAATTTGCAAGGTCTTAAAGAAAATGATTGCCTACTTCACCCATATTTTTCTTCGTTTTTTTGTGTGCAAAAAAAGCAATGAACAACTGAAAACACTAACTAGATTTTAATGTAGTTCAACTGCCACCAAGCTACTGCAAAATGTAGTTCAATTACTAGTTGAACAACATGTAGTTCACGACTCCCCAACACTGCCTGGCGGCCCTAATAACCTTCAGATGACAGAATACAGCACTGTACGTGGTGTAGTGCGCTTACAATGGCAGGATTGTGAGTTCGATTCCCATGGCAACCCATACGTACAATGTATGCACGTATGACAAGAAGTCGCCTTGGATGAAAGCGTCTGCTAAATGGCAAATATTATTATATCATGCAATAGTTATTTAATAAAAGCATGGTTATCATTACAATGGGATTGTATTCTGTCAGCAGCAGTTTATCAACCAGTTTATAGAAGTGCAGCCAGGTGGCTAAAATGCCAGGGTGGAAATACTACCAGATTTATATTGTATCTTTATGTTTTTTATATCTACAGTACATGTTGTTCTAATTGGGTTTAATAAAAGTGGTACAATTCCGATTAAAAGTTGCTCATAAACAACACCCCTAACACTGCTGGCCATAATACTGCTCTCTGGCAACCAACTACTGTTGCTACTGAGACTGGGAATAATAACTATTGTATTCATACTAACTACTGTTGCTACTGAGACTGGGAATAATAACTATTGTATTCATACTAACTACTGTTGCTACTGAGACTGGAAATAATAACTATTGTATACATACTAACTACTGTTGCTACTGAGACTGGGAATAATAACTATTGTATTCATACTAACTACTGTTGCTACTGAGACTGGGAATAATAACTATTGTATTCATATTAACTACTGTTGAAACTGAGACTGGGAATAATAACTATTGTATTCATACTAACTACTGTTGATACTGAGACTGGGAATAATAACTATTGTATTCATACTAACTACTGTTGAAACTGAGACTGGGAATAATAACTATTGTATTCATACTAACTACTGTTGCTACTGAGACTGGGAATAATAACTATTGTATTCATACTAACTACTGTTGAAACTGAGACTGGGAATAATAACTATTGTATTCATACTAACTACTGTTGATACTGAGACTGGGAATAATAACTATTGTATTCATACTAACTACTGTTGAAACTGAGACTGGGAATAATAACTATTTTATTCATACTAACTACTGTTGAAACTGAGACTGGGAATAATAACTATTGTATTCATACTAACTACTGTTGCTACTGAGACTGGGAATAATAACTATTGTATTCATACTAACTACTGTTGAAACTGAGACTGGGAATAATAACTATTGTATTCATACTAACTACTGTTGAAACTGCGACTGGGAATAATAACTATTGTATTCATACTAACTACTGTTGAAACTGAGACTGGGAATAATAACTATTGTAGTTATACTAACTACTGTTGATACTGATAATGAGTTAGCTCTGGTTACACTCACCAAGTAAACTGTAGTATTCTCAGTTGTAGGAGTGTTGTGTCTTATTCAGACATTCCAGTATTCAGGTGTTTGGACTAAATTCTTCCCCCTCCTCAGCGCATTGTCATTCTGCTCTCTCTGTCCCAGACATCCATGGTTCCTGCTCTGTCACTTTATACACCTCTGTCTCTTTCTCTTCCCCCTGTTTCACAGAGACACTCACTCATCAGCTCAGGGCTCGTCTCCATAAAGGGGAGGAGCGAGAGAGAGGGAAGGAGAAGGAGTGAGGGTAGGAGAAGGAGAGAGGGAAGGAGATAGGGAAGGAGAAGGAGAGAGAGAAGGAGAAGGAGGGAGGGAAGGAGAAGGAGAGAGTGAAGGAGAAGGACAGAGGGAAGGAGAAGGAGAGAGGGAAGGTGAAGGAGAGAGGGAAGGTGAAGGAGAGAGAGGGAAAGGGAAGGAGAGAGGGAAGGAGAAGGATAGAGAGAAGGAGAGAGGGAAGGAGAGAGGGAAGGAGAGGGAGAGAGAGAAGGAGAAGGAGAGAGGGAAGGAGAAGGAGAGAGGGAAGGAGAGAGGGAAGGAGAAGGAGAGAGGGAAGCAGAAGGAGAGAGGGAAGAGAGAAAGAAGAGGGGTGTGAAAGAGGGGGCGTGGTGTGTGTGGGGGGGGGATAGAGATATCGGTTTAGAGAAAGTGAAAGGGAGAAAAACAAGGTAAGGATGTATGTTTACGTATTTTAAGATGGAAAATGAACATGTTTTAATTCTGAAAGAGGGCATGTAACATGCACATGTGTGAAAGACTGTTTTCATGTTTCACGTGTCTTTTGGAGGGAGAAATAAGGAACGTGTGAATAATAAAATGTTGATTGCGTTACATGACGCTCGTCATGCGTGATTGCAAATGCCAAAACCAATGTTGTGTATGAACGCTAAAGTGTACTGCGGTCATATAACTTGAGTCGTGTTTCTTTAGGACACATAACAGTACAGAAACAAAATAGCACTACAGTTTCTTGAGATTAACGGGGCAGTCTGTGATTCGAAAAAAAAAAAAGATATATATGTAATTAATTTAGAAAGTCCAAAAATGAATGTACCAATCGCAGACTGTAGCTTTAAACGTTATTTCTTATCCCCTCTTCAGTGTTCCTTTTACATGATGGGGACAGTAATGTAGCCTGTACATCCACTGTTATTGTAATAATGGAAAATAAGTGGAACTAATTTATGGTTTAATATATAATGAACAGATTATATGAAGGTTCAGGAAGATTGAACATTAAAACTCAGGAAGAAATGCATGCATTAACAGTTTAAGAGTTTAAAAGGATGCATGATTGGTTTAATGCATTATCATTTTTGTTATGAATATTTTATAGATATTTATTTTCGAAAGAATACAAAATTCTAACGCAAAACACAAACAACAAAAACATACACCAATACTTATTATCATGATAAAGAAACATGTCCTCTCTGACTCCATCTAGTGGTGGTTATCATCAGCTTCACTATATCAGCTGAATAGAAAAATGTCCTCTCTGACTCCATCTAGTTTTTACATTTACGTCATTTAGCAGACGCTCTTATCCAGAGCGACTAGGGTTAAGTGCCTTGCTCAAGGGCACATCGACAGATTTTTCACCTAGTTGGCTTGGGGATTAGAACCAGCGACCTTTCGGTTACTGGCACAACGCTCTTAACCACTAAGCTACCTGCCGCCCCAGTGGTGGTCATCATCAGCTTCACTGTATCAACTGAATATGCTGTAATCGGTTATCAGCTGCGATCCCTGACTCTGTGACCTCTGACCCTGTGACCTGTAAAAACACAATTTCTTATGAACCCCCTTTTGAGTCCTATAATGTTACCATGACAACAGAACAGTTACACACCTCACCAAGGGGGCCGGGCAGAACCCTCTGATACTGTCACTGTCACTGTCCCCTCCCCTCCCCTCCCCTCCCCTCCCCTCCCCTCCCCTCCCCTCCCCTCCCCTCCCCTCCCCTCTGCCTCCTGCCTCCTCCACTCCCAGTTGTACAGCAGGTACTGTTTGTGTGTGTGTGTCTGCAGACTGGGGTCAGAGTCTAAGAGGTGAACATGGGTTGGTAATCTGTGATTATGGCAGTGACAGGACAGGGTTCCCAAGGGATGTCGTAAGGGGCTTCGCCCTTCAAGTGCTGCTATAAAACTGGGCTTACTGCCCAGCTAAGCAGAAAAAAATGAGACTGTAAACTTGTAAAGACAGTATAGGCCATATGAAAACACACACACATTAAAACACAAGCATATGTAACCTGTGAACATAGGATATTGCCA